ATTAATTATATTTAGTTATTTTTTAATAAAATTTCATGTAATTAAGTATTGTTTTAAAATTTGACTCGAAGGACTCCAAGCTAAACCCGATAATCTTAGAATGGTGGATGGTGGGTGTTATAAAAAAAAATTATTTTAGTAAAATATGTTAGAATAGTTATCCACGAGAATCGATCTCACATAACAACAATTATAGTTATCTTTAATTTTGTGTGTGTATGTGTTTATTAATATCATACAATTAATTTCATAAATGACTTACCAATTCTACCTCTGATCTATTGATATAAAAAAAATAATATTAAGACTGAATCATACAATTTCATAAGTGACCTACCAATTCTACCTCTGATCTATTGATATAATATTTTGATCATTCAAAATTTTAAAATATTATATGTACAACTAAAGTCAATCACCAATCTCTTTAAGATTTTTTAATGAGATTATGAATTGTCTATCTCATCTCTAATTCAAGCTTGCATGATAGGATTTAAAACAGGAGAACCCATATTCAATATCAAATCCTAACTAGTAGAAACAAATAAACATAATCAGTTGTATCATCCTTATAAGACACTTAAAACTCTATGTGAATGTTTGATAATTTATACAATACAATTGATATTATTGTACATGAAAGAAATAAACTTTATAAATATTTTTATTTTAAACATACTCTTTATTTTAAATTATTGTTATATTTAATATTAGTTATAAGTGAATGTATAGAAAATAAAATTAATGAGAATATAAAAAAATTATCATTAATTAACTTTAAGAACTAATATTAACATCAGAGGTAGTATATTTTAAAAAATATTGGAAAAAGTTTATAAATATATATTGTCTTTTGTTTCCTTTACATTGTTGAAAAAAAAAATTGGTTCGAAGTACATTTTTTTTTTCAAAGTCGAGTACCTTTTCTACATTTTATATTGGAGGTTGTTATTCACACATTCTATTTTACACTTTACACCCCATTATTATTATTATTATTTGTAATTTGGAATTCAAATAGTAGAGCTGTCAAAATAAGTTCCAGCTCGTAGGTCAATCTAGCCCACCTTGAAAACAGGTCAAGTTGAGCCAAAAAAAGAAAAATTTTATGATGGGTCACAAAATATGACTTGGCCCACTTTCGACCCGACCCACCCCGGGTTGAACCCGTGGTAGGCCGGGCAGCCCACCTGACCTACTTATCAACTCATCAACTTAACCTACTAACAACTCACTTAACTATTTATTATTATATATGTATTATTTTAATAATATATCATTTTTTATAGATAAAGATAAAATCAATATTAAAAAATATGAAATTGATATAAATTTATCTGATATATAAAATTGGTATAAATTTATCTACCCAAACCTCCAATAAAATTTAATATTGATGAATAATCACTTTCATGAAAGAATTTTTATTTTTTTGTTTTAATTTTTTAAAGTTGTACACTTTTTAATTTAATTTTAATGTTGTATCCATGATACTTAGTTTGATAATTTTTACTTTAGATTAGATATTATTTTATATTGAAATTTATTTTAAATTATAATTTTTTTAAAAAAAAATTAGGTGGGTTGGTGGACGGCCCATTTAGCCCACCAACCTGTGGTGGGCCAGGTCGGGCTAGAAAATTTTGCATAATAAATTTGGTGGGCTGGGCCGGGTCGGGCTAAAAAAATTTGCATAATAAATTTGATAGGTCAGGTCAGGTTGACCGATTTAAAAAGTGGGTTGAGGTGAGTCGGGTCAAACAAGCCAAGCTAGCCGTTTTGATAGCTCTATCAAATAACCAACTACCCCATCTTCATTTTTGCCCTCATCCCGTGCTTCAACCCCTTCATTCTTTCTCTCACCTCGACCTTTCCTCCTTTGTCTCATTTTTTTTTCTGTGTCCCTCAATTATTTCTCTCTCTCTCTCCTCTTCAAAGTAATCTTGGATCATGTTAATTGAACTTTCGTATTTTTTTCTCGTTGTTCATAGGTTTTACAAAAATTAGCCTCTTTAATGCAAAATTTACATTATGGAAATTAGTTTCCTTCATGAAAAATTTACTTTATGAAAAGATTCCATAATATATATAAAAAAAATTGAATTATGCAAATTAGTTTTTGCAATGTAAATTCACTAATGCAAATATTAGATTTAATGATAGAATTTAACATTAATCCTCGGATGACCATTATAATAAGGAACGTAGTAGCATTTTAAAATATATTAATTATTATACATCAATTGTAGTTTAATTGATGTGGTATATTACTTTTTACATTGGTTTAGGTTTGAATCGAGATGCATAAAGTATTATACTACATGAGTCCGGATTTGAAACATAGATGCATAAAGTACTATAGTACATCAATGTAGGCTTGAACCAATGTAGAAAGTATTACACTGAATTGGTTACATTACAACTTATATAGTATAGTATTTTAAAACACTACAACATCATCATTTCATGTTCACACTCCTATTTTCTCTCTTTCTACTCACTCATGAATGTTGTTCTTCCCATTTTCGGTTACCCTTTTTTTGTAATCAACCTTAGAGGACACACATGCGATAGCTTAGAGGACTGTGAGTATAATTTTGTTTCACATATTATGTTAACAAAGATATAAACACGGGTTTAATATATTTATCATTTAATATGTTGCATGATTCTCTAGTTGAACAGTCAACATGAAGTTCATTTGTTGTCCATGAATGATGATCGACATCTCATCTTAATGTGAATTATATATTGATGGGACCCTTAGTAATTAGTGGCCATTAACAGAGTATATTTGTTGGGGTCTTTGATACACCACCAACCTTTAAAGGATGATATGGTGATGATGGTGGTGAAAAAGGTTTGAGTTGTAAATGCTTGAGTTTTCTTTATCCATCGTAGAGATTTAGACAATGAGGTAAGCCACACAACATTTCATTTATTGGGCACTCAGATTGGTGAAGGTTGTTTAAACCAAGATATATTATTTACTTTATTAGTAGAATTTTATTTAATTAGCATTTTTCATAACTAATATACCTAATTTTATTTTATATTTATTGTTTTAGGATATAGTGTCTAAAGACACTAGTCCCACAACCACAAAAGGAGAAAGACATAATCGATTCTCGACGGACCTAGATATGGTTGATCATATGCCTGTGGTTATGTCATGCAGAAGAAAGCTTGTACAAGTGGCATAGCATGAAAGTATCTTCAACAATCCTAGTACAATTAATGCCTCTGCACGACTGCACACACATATACATATATGAATGATATAATTGAAATAGTATGTATAAGGACATATCTCAATTCTTTATTGAAAGTACTTTTTATTTGTAATTTTGATTAGTAATTAAATAACTCACAATTTACTAATATTTATTTTATCATTTAAGGTACGTAATTAAATCAAGTTTATATGTAAAAGGATAATGCAGACTTGTATAAATTCTTGAAGCTTGAAATCATTCAAAAGTTTAAAAACAAACATTTCAAGAAATATTACATATATAATAATATATAAAAAGTATCATCATAAATATAATATATATGAATATAAATTTATCTAACATATATCTATATATAATTTTAATATTAATCTTAATGGAATTCAATAATCTTTTCTTTGAGATTACATGAGTAAATTTTTATTTTAGTTTGTGTAGTTTACATTTTATGTTGCTAGTTTAGATTATATTTATGTAGTTTAAAATTTGTTACGGTGTATTGGTAGTTTAGGGTGTTATAGAACTTCATTGGTTAGTTTAAGATTTTAGGAATTGTTTTAGTATATACCACAGATATCTCGGAGCAATCCTATATATTTAAATAAGTTAGGATAATTATATATAAAAGACAATTTTTTCCTCCAAATATTTAGAACTTAGGAATGTAACTTTGTAGTTTTTAATGTAAATAATATTTTTAGAGTTAATATTAATATAGTGATTTTGGATTTTTTAAATGAACTGTAATTACTTGTTTTTGTCTAGAGTATATTTTGTACGTTGCATATTTTTCATGTTACAGGTTTGGTATAATATAAAAAACAAATCATATACGTACTAAAAAAAACGTATACTCTATATTACTTGTACCATAAGTGGTGTACAATCTCATTTTTTTACTCCAATTGCGACTACAAATGATGTAGAAATTCTACATCAATTATCACTGAGTAATGTGAAATGGTTCTCTTTTATACATCGGCGAGAATAATATCAGTTTCACAACTTATATAAAAAACTTGTTTTAATAGATGATAAAACCACCACAAATTAGTGATTTTACTTTACGAAACTAGTTTCATATATAATATAAAAATTATTGTTATAGAAACTAGTTTCCACAATGTACAGTTTCCGTTACGAAAACTATATAGTTTCTTTTTAATGTAAACTAGGATCCATACATTTTTCAGTTAATTTCTCTAGATAAACCTTTGTTGAAAGTCTTAATATATGCTATTAACAGTATTTGATAATATTAAAATTGTTGTGTCGTTCTACCACATTTATTCATAAAAAAAAACTATGTCACAAACTTAAAAAAAAAAAAAAACTCTTCAATGCCCTTATAAAATAACCAATTTGGATTTATAAATTAATAATAATTTTTTTAACCATTATAAAACAACTCTTTTTTTTTTAATAGATGAAATATAACTTTTAAATAATCATGATATTAATATGAAATATTTACGCAAGAAATAGTGATGAAATTTGGTTTTCTTGATTGAATAGAGTAAGTTGTATAAATTCGTTAGTATATTATATTCAAATTTCATAAATAATATAAAAAAAACACTTTTTTTTAAAAAGAATTACTAAAGCAACTCTTCCCTTAATTTAACTTAGATGACCAAAAATTTATTTAACGATATATATTAATTAGTTTATAAGCATGGAAGTATTAATTAGTTTGATGATTACATGTATTCTAATTACAATAAATGAATAATGCAGTAAATTTACGGCTATTTGTAAATTGTTATTTTTCAGCAATGTAATGCTGGTTATTCTTGTTTCTATAGCATATATATATATTTAACTGCTCTTCAAATTGCTAATAGAAAATAGAAGGCCAATTCCACCGGCAAGGCAATGAGCATTCCTAACAAGATCCTGTAATTAATGAAAAACAAGAAACATCAAATCTCAAGTCATATATATATATATATATATTAAATTTATATTTTAAAAATTATTAAGTAATATAAGTGGAAAATTTTGACACACACAGAGAGAGAAATCATATTAATTAAATGATAACTTTTTAGACTATTAGATGTCAAGTTTGGAGGAAAAAATGCATGTAACTTTTTTAAGTAATTATGACCACTAACTAACTTTTAATTTTGACTTTTCATAAATAGTTATATAACTTGCATTTGAAGTTCTTGTTTCTCATTATAAGAATAGTTCTCACTTGACATGTCCTATATATAGATATATATTAAATCAAATATCTTATTATCACGAAAAATAATAACATATATAAATGTAAGTTAGTTATATATAGTCATATGAGAATAATCAAAATTAAAAATTAATTAATTAGAAATCATACTTGACCAATATCGCTTAAAAGACTGTACATATTTTGTTTAATATAAATAATTTAATATATGATTTAATGATTTATATTTGTAGTGTCATTCATTGTACAGTAATAACTAATAAGAGAGTTCTCACATTATTTTCCTATACATATACATGTATTATCATATTAAGAGATGGTTTGACAGTAGAACTCACGCAGTGCTTAAAACTGCTGGATGGACATCATACTCTTTGGCAAAAACAAAAGGAACAATTCCTTGGGGTAGAGCTGCCTGCACATGCAAATTCATGCAAACAAACTATTTACCTTTAAAATGACATGAAAAGTAAAAGAAAAGAAATTAAGAAAAGATCATCACCTGAACAACTGCCACTTTAAACAATGTGTCTCTTAATCCAATCACAAGGGAAGCCAAAGCCATAAGGGCAGGTCCAACCACAACTTTCAGTCCTATTGCCACCATTGCCATCCTTGGCCCACATGCTATAATGCTCGACTGAGATGCCATAAACAGACCTGATATATATAAATGTCCACCAAATTAATATATATAAATAATATAAACAATTAAACCCTTTTAAAGAATTCTAGTGTTGGTTTATTTTCAAAACTCATATAATATTCTTTAACAAGAAACAAGTGTCCTAGTCAAACTGATTATTTCTCTTACCTAAACTGAACATTGCCATACCAAGACCTCCGTTGGACAATATTTCTATTGACTGACTAACAACTTCAGGCATATGTAATCCCCACCTGCAACAAGTTAGTTAACCTTATTTGTCGCCTTAGTTATGCATAGGAAGTTAAATGCAATAATCTCTTGGACTTACTTGAATGGAATGGACATTAAGAGTTTGAATTTGTTTGAATAAACTTCTTTAAAAGTAATTTTAAGAAAAAAAAGTAAAAAAATAAATTAAAATAACTTTTTTAAAGATAAAAATTAAGTTACACATAAAGGTTTTGAAAAAATTAATATTATAGAATTTCTACTAATTAAATTATATATGAATAAGTTAAACTAGTCTATCAAGAAGTTTATTTTTATTTTTTTATTTTATTTTTCTCTTAAAGAATTGTGGTTGTATTTAATGGGCTTTTGCATTTGTTATACGTGCTTACCTGAACCGTATGCTTGACCAAATAAAACCCATTAATGTTGCATATGTATTAGGATTTCTGATTAGCTTCTTTCCCACTGTGAGAAGAATGGGTAAGACCTTCATCCTCCTTTTTGTTCTAGGTTCGTTGTCTTCCTCTCTTTTAGCTTGTACTTCATGGGCTGTCTCCGTTTCTCCTTTAATTTAAACAGACAATGATCGAGAACATTTTCATTTCTGGAACTATTTTACGGGAATATTAATTTGTACCTAACTTTTGTATCATATACTAGTTCCAAGCACAAATAGACATCATATCACACTGGTGTTAGTTTAACTTATATATGTTGTTAAAGCACTAGGATATAACTTAACAACAAAATTGTGTTTAAGATGAATATGGAATACTGTCAAAGTGATGTGATGAAAAAAAAAAATGTAGAATGAGAAGGTAATAGATATTAATTATTATAAGTGATGTGATGGGAAAATTAGAAAGACATAAGAGAAAAAAATGAGATGGAAAGTAGAATAGAAGAGAAAGTGAATGTATATTTATACCTGAAAAATAAAAATTCAAAGAGCATCTAATTCAAGAGGGAGAGAAAGAAAAGATCACATAGAAACGTAGAGACAGTTAATATATATATATGATCTGGTCCCACTTTGATATTGTTAACTCTATTTGGTTGAACATGATTAATTGATATATATAGATAATGCTGAATTCGTACATGCAAGAAAACTCTCATCACCCTACTTTGATTTCCATCAGAAGCTTTACTTTTAATTTTTTTAATTTAATATCCAACCAATCCCGAATGAATCGATATCAATGATGGCTTTAATGTTCCTGTTTATAAGAGAAAATTAATGTCATGAAGAAGAATTTGACAGTTTTAGCTTGTTTCACATATCAACCTCTCTATAAATCTCATTCCTAATCAACCAATTATAAACACCTACCTGATCCTTGTGATGGTGGTACAGGCCTGGTCTTGACAGCATCAAGTTCATAAAGAAACAAAAGCAAATTGTACCAGATCATGCTCTGCAAGAAAATAACCTGTGCCAGGAGAACAACAGCTTCACCCTTATACATAGCTTTCATGAGAGGGATTCCCAGAATCAAAGTGTTTGGAAGTGCTGTTAACGACAAGCCAGTTACGATCCACTTTAAACCTCCTCGGCCACTGATCTTAGTGATTGCTATTAGGACCAGAAATGCAAGCAGTTTCTGAACAAAGTCGGCATACATGAGTTTGAGGCTCATTTTGTAGATGTTGTTAGAGGAAATGATTTGAAATGACAAGAGTGGGATAGAGAACTTCGCCACAAATTTGTTTATGCCTGAACATTGATCTGGTGAGAAGATCTTCCACCATTTCACAGAAACGTAGGCAAGTATCATGGTCACATATAATGGGACAGTGGCTGCCACTACATGATAGGCATCGGCTAAGGAAATCATGATGGCTAGTGTTCAAGATTTAGGATCACCTATGCCTTACTAAGATGTCTTGCATGCTTTTTAGGCTATTTTGTCATTGAATATTGAATGACTAAGATCGAATAATATGTTTAAGAAACTTCTTTGGAGGCTTTCTTTCTATATATAATTTAAATTAATAGTGACTAAATCTTGTTGAAGCCCAAAATTAAACTGTACCTGTAGTTGGATTGGATTGCTAATTTTAGCCGTTTCTTTTTTCTTCCTTTTTTCCCGAGAATGAACCTTAGCGTAATAGTAAGGTTGCTGCTTTAAATATTGAAAAAAACTACTTAATTAGAGTAATTAAAGGCAGCATATAATATTATCTTAGGTGTAAGTCTTGTGCACTGGATCATTTTAATTTCTTGTTTTTTTTCTTCTTTTCCGCCTTTGTAATCTGAGTTATCACCATTAATTTGGAGTTGCTAACTTCGTTTTTGCAATGTGCATTAATCTAGTTTCATTATTCTCTTAAATATATATACTACAGTGAGCATGTCTGTGTCTCTGCGATACCTTTAAATTATTATATTGAATACAACGATATTTTTGGTGTAGATATCATGATTTGAAAATTATTGATAGAAAGGAGTTTAGTAATCAATAAATAAAGTGAGGGCATTCAAGTCCAAATGAGAAACATAAAAATTAGATTCCAATTTTCTTGTTCGCATAGTCTTTCGGTACATAGGTTCTTTTTCAAAGCAGACCTAGACAAGACCTGCATGCTGACAAATATGCAAAACACTATCAGACCAGAAAATCATGATATATGGTTCAATATTATTTTTTAATGCAAAAGAACATAAATTCAAGTGCCCTTTTTTTCCATTCAGTTTATGTTCAGCCTTTGTCTGTTATCCCTCTCAACAATAATCTTCATTCAGGTACGTGCAAAAATCTTTGGATTTAGACTTTTGTAATTATGCTAACTCAAATTTTAGCTTAAATTTTCCTATATATACATCGAACTTGATATTTCTTTTTCTATCTTTTTTATTTTTATAAAATTTAATTAAAACTTTTCAATGCTGGGAAGAATAAAGAAGTTAATTGCAAGTTAAGTAACGAAGCACTGTTAAGAACTGTGTGAAGAAGAATACTTTCTAATTTTGGTCAAAAGTGTTCAAATGTAGGGAATTTACTTTCCAAAACGTGATTTTTTTTTGCCATAAAAGCCCCATCATCTCTTTCTTCGGGTTGTCTTTGTAAGAGAATAAAAAACTCAATCCACCAAGGTCATTAGATATTGTCTTTTTCATGCCGGGACGATCTAAACAAATATATATAGATTAAATAATTTTTGAATTAAATTGTAAAGGATTGATAAAAATAAATCATTAGTTTATTTATTAATTTTTATTTGCGTTAAAATAATGATCAACAAAAGTCACATTTTATAAAGATAAATTAAACATTAGTTATCAACTTTCGTGTAAATTATGTTTATAAATTAAAAAAATTATTAGTTATCTGGTGCCCAACTATGATTTAAAGTATATTATATTTGCTTTTGAAATATTTTTAAAAAATAATGCTCAATATTATTTATACAAATTTATGTAGCTAAACATTGTTGAGTGAAAGCGTCCCTCAAAGCACTATTAAAAAAGTGTCATTTTTTTTGTAAATTTTCCTGCAAAAAGATATTTGTAGAAAGTTTTTGCGAAATTTCCTGCAAAAAAATATTTCCAGAAATTATTTGCAAATTTTTCTGCCAAAAAATATTCGCAGAAATGTTTTGCCAATTTTCCTGCAAAAAATAATTTACAGATATTTCTTACAAATTTTGCTACAATTTTAATAATCATGAAAAAAAAATTTCATGGTAAAAATTTGCAGAAAATATTGTAAGAATTTTATTTTGTTTCTTGCAAAAATAAATTCGCAAGTAATGTTTACTAAATGGTAGAAAAATTTTGCAAGTAACTTTTCTTGCAGATTTTTCTGCAAATTTTAATTCGCGGGAAAAATAAAAAAAATATTTAAATTCATAAGTTTAATATTTTAAAAAATCTTCAAGTCCCACATCGATTGAAAATAAAACAATTAAAGAGTATATAAGTTGGGGCAACATTTACCTTACAAGTTGAATTGTATGGTTGAATGTTAGGCTTATAATCTACAATCTTAGAATTTAAAAGATTATGTATGAGACATGAAAATAAAAGATTATGAATTTTTAAAATATATAATTTATAGTATTTTTTTTTTTAATTTTTCGTAAAAAATATTCCTGCAGAACTTCTTGCGAAAAAATTCGCAGGAAAGTTTCCTGCGAATTTTCCTGCAAATTTTTTTTCAGGAAAATTTCCTGCAAAATTTTTTTTTTTGTAGGAAACTTTCTTGCGAATTTTTTTCGCAAGAAAATTTCCTACGAATTTTAAAATTCGCAAAAATATATTATCTACGAAGGTATTACCTGTAAATAAAATTTCGCAGAAAAATTTGTAAGAACAACGTTTCCTGCAAATTTTTATGAAAAATTCGCAGGAAAAATCGCATATAATAAGAGAAATTCTAGTAGTGAAGACTTGTGAACTTTGGTCAACTTGATACAATGTATTATATAAATTATGTTGGGTGATTCATTATCCATTCAATTACACAACAATAAATATTATATATATTAATATATAAAAAATATCATTATAAATATAATATACGTAAGTATAAATTTATTTAACATATATATTCATACATAATTTTAGTATTATCTTTTAATGAAATTTAATAGTATATTTTATATATCACTATAATCTATATTTAATACTTTTTAACTAATAACGTACTAACTAAATTGTATATATCTATATAGGTAAAAATAATTTTTAATAATAAATATCATATTATTATAAGATATGCGTCACTACATGATTTTTTTTTTATAATGATAAATTCATTAATTATTTTTTTATAATTGGAAGAATTCGTTAGATTTATGCATAGAGATGAATTAGATGGTTTGTAGTTAATAGAATGAGTTGTCACCTTAAATTATATTTAGTTGTGGTTTATATACTACAAAAAATATGCAATTTAGCGACCACCAAAATCGGTCGCTAAATTGCAAAAATCGGTCGCTATTTATCTTAGCGACCGAATTTAATCAGTCGCTAAAACCCTGGTCGCTAAACTATTTAGTGACGGAAAAATTTTCGGTCGCTAATTTGGTCACTAAATGGTTGAAATGATTTTGGTCGCTGAAGTGTATGAGACCAACTTAGTGACCGAATAAATCGGTCGTTAAATCGGTCGCTAAATATTTATTTTTATTTTATTAAATTTTATAGACATCGCAAATTTGGTCGCTATGAATCACTCATATTTGACCTCTAAAGGATTTTATTTCACAATACTTAAGTTTTTAGCATGTTTTGTCCTTAATTACACAATTTTTGGAAACTTCCCAGAAGGTCACCCATCCCTATATTACTCCAAGTCAAGTACGCTTAACTGTGAAGTTCTTATGATAAGCTACCGAAAAGCAAATGCATGTTGTTAGTATAAGTAGTACAAATTAATTCATTTAAATCATCCTTAACTATCTAATCTCATACTTATATTATTTTTGGATCCTTATCATTTTGGTATATCCAGACCGTTATAAATATATAATAATATATATAATAATTATATTACTAATAATAATAATTATATTATATTTAATTAATCTTTATTTATATATATACACACTT